ATATATATATATATATATATATTTTAATTTTTCAAAGTTGTTCTCTCATCCACTTGGGTTTTCAGTCACACACAAAAGCTTACAAAGATAAATCTTTTAATACACAATCTCTTCAGCACTAATTAATCACCAATAATAACCTATGATGCAAGATGAATCAAACAATAGCACGAAAAACTGATGTACAACAACAACAAAGCCTTATTCCACTAGTTGAAGTCCGCTAGATGGATCACATGACACCATTCGACACAGCTAAAAACCAAAGCCTAAGGAAATAATCTAAAAACTAATCAAGAAAAAAAAAAACTGGGCACAAAGAAGGGGGAGTGGGGACAGGGGAGGATAGTCTCAATCCCAAAAACCAAAAAAAAAAAAAAAAAAAAGGTTTCATCTTTATTTTTTAATCATTTAGCTCAAACATAAACACGTACATCATTGTGTTTCTAATATTTTAATGCAAGCCCCAGAAACATTACTAGTCAAGGAATTTAACAAGACATAAAAGTACACATAATGAAATATAAATGTTAGCATCTGCCTAACTCCCACCACCACCAAAAAGATAATTAACAAAATATAAACTATTTTGCAAAATAAGCTAATCCAACACACTTATGTCAAATTCAACTCAGAATATGTCGGATTCCAACATGATTGTCTTCAATAGATCATATATGTGGTCTATACCAAAAATTAAAAAATAAAATAGAAACAACCCAGAATGAAACAAACAAAGGGAAGTGGACATGAGTGAAGAAAATTCATTACCCTGAGAAGAATTTGGGTGTGGGTTGAGTTTGTGAAGTGGTGATGGTGTGTTGACAACATTGACAGCAGAAGCAGCCACCCAAGCAAGCAGTTGAGGTGAGAGTGCAGGCACCCTCCTCAGCCTCTCTGCTGGCAGTGAGCAAGATCTGCTAAGAGGTGGGCCCCACTGGGCCCCATTTGCCACACCCACTAATGATGATGCCCTTCTCAACCCCACTCCTTCTGCATTCTCACCACAAGGTGAAAGCTTTAGACCAAGGTCTATTTTCTTTGAGTTCTGCTTGTACCCTTTCTCACCATAACACCTCTGCACTCAAAAACAGTAAACCACACACAAAAAAAAAATGTAAAACAAGTCTCATAGTGTTAGACTCTTAGCCCTTTGTTGCATGATGAAAAACAATACAAACAAAAAACAAAAAAAACATTTTTTTCTCTTTTTGTTTTATTTACCTCCATTGAAAGAAAGGAAAAAGAGAAAACCCTTCAACAGAAAAACTCTCTCCCGTGAAGGTTTCCCCTTTGAGAGAAGAGAAAAAAATGGGGTGGCTCACAATGTTTGTTTGAGGAAAGAAGTGAGTGGGAGAAAGAGACAACAAAATTTGAAAGAAAAGAAAGAAAAAAGAAGAATCTGAGGAAAAGGAAAAGGGGTTGAGAGAGGGAGTTTTGTTTTGTTTGTTGCTGTTAATGTTGTTGAATGTTGATGACATGGGTTTTGTTCGTGAATTATGAGGAAGCGTTTGAAAAGTTCCACGTGGTAATCAGTGGAGAGAGAGGTTGGTTCACATCGTCTACGGTTACAGTACACTTGTGCTTCGTCTCTCTGCATTTTGCATTTTGCATTTCGCAGGCATCACCCTCCTTCCATGCCACGTACTTCTAAACGCAAATTTGGGGGTAATAACGTCAAATCATTGCTACTATTTTTTCAGCTTTAACCCTTTAACCACCTAACCTGATTTTCAGACTTCGTGTCCATTATTAAATACTCATTTAATTACTTTTTCTTATTTATACACGTGTACATATGTGTTAAATATTTAGGAAAAATTTTACACGTATCTTATTCAACTTAAATTAAACTATTTTAAAGAATAGGGATGGGCATAAGTGAATTTTTCTCTGAAATATAATTTTTTTAAAATATTTACAAAAATAAATCCCCCTTTATTTACCAAACTAAACATAAACATATTTACTGAGGGAGTCGAATTCTGACCTTAGTCCCCGTTTGTTTCAGGAAATTTACTGTTCACGACGAACGAAAGGTGAAGAAACTTGACGTTTGTTTTTGCTGATTTGCACTGAAAGAAAAGTGAAGAAAAGCGGGAGAACCCGCATGGCCGTTCCTCGCGAAGTTGTGAAGAAAAGAAATAAAAGTCACGTAAGAAATGAGAAAACCCGATAATATCCCTGCCCAAAAGCTAAAAAAAGATGAAGCTCTACCATGCTCATGCATGCAGAAACTGTGTCATGCAGTAGAGGGAGGGTAGCCGAGGTATGAGAATGAAGAATGGAGGGCAAACCGCGGTGAAAAACTGAACTCCCAGCCAGCATAATCGATTATGCATGGCACATAATCGATTATGGGCTGGCATAATCGATTTATTAGTATCATTATTTTTTATTATGATTCTTATTATTTTTCTAATATTTATTATTATTATTATCATTATTTATTATTTTTTTAATAAATTATACCTATTAATATAATTTTATTGTAATTATTATTAATTACAATAAATAATATTCTACTCATTTTTAATCCAAGGGTAAAAGTGTAAATTATATATTCATCTATTAAATTTTTAATTTTTATCTATCACATCAATCAATTTCTACACAAATTCTCACAAATTTTCCACTCACTTTTCACTATCTTTCCCTTAATCTAAACAATCTCACTTTCCATTCTCTTTCTCTTCAAATCTTTCCTTTTCCACTCCCCAAATCCATCCTTCAATCCAAACACAACCTTAATGATTGTTTTGGTGACTTGAAAAATTTGTTAGGAATCAAATTTTGAGAAATGTTTTTTTTTTTAAATCTAATTTTTTATGAAATAATAATAAAAAAATGTATGTAAAATTAATAAAAATAATAAATGATATTGTGTTTATATATTTATTTTAATATGTTAATTTTTGTTAATAATTTATAATATTAATATGATAAAATAATTATGAATAAAAAATTTATTTAAATAAAATAAGTTAATTAATTTTAAATATTAATCTGTATTAATATTTATAGTTAATTATTTTTTAATATTTTGTTGATCAAATATTATTTTAATA